GGATTAGCTCTATCTAGTGGGCCCAACTGAGTAGGAACCTGAAGACGGAGATAGAGTCTCATCTCCGAAACGTCGTTTTTACGTTTTTTACGTTTTATTACTAGACGATGGATAATATCCAAGTAAATTTTTATTCTATTGACTCTTCACCATTGTCAAGAAGTTTTAGATTTGAAGTAATTATCATGACAATGACTGTGGGTAACAATGATTTGATAGATACAGAAATAGCTGAGAGTAAAAACAAATACGCAGGTCTTACTGCAGGCATTTCAACCATACTGTCTACTAAAATCTGCTTAAAAAGGGGAGACTGTCCTAGGGGCCATCATAACCATCTACTTTCATTAGATTTCTGTCTTCTGGGTTATTGCGCTGTGTAGTCTGGTCGATGTTAACCAACGTTTCAGAGGTCATACTGCCTCCGTCATCAGGGCGATGATCGAGGCAGTATGACCTCTGAAACGTTGGTTAACATCGACCAGACTACACAGCGCAATAACCCAGAAGACAGAAATCTTCATACTCACCGCTGTGAGAACCTCAAGTCTTACATACTTTCATTAATTCCAAGCTCAAGGTGAAGAAAAAGTTTTCATTTATCTACATCCTGCAAGTGCACATAAATGTGAATTCCACTGAAATTCATTTTCACTTTAATATGCACATAATTGAAATAAAAAAGCAGCCATACAGAAATAGCTATTTGACATGTGTCCAAAAATTAAAATGTATTAAAAATGTTTCAAATGCATCAAAAGAAGATGTTTATGAACTTTTCTGAAGACTCCATGTTTCAAACTTAAATATACAAGTAGCACAGTACAATTCTATATGTCATTACATCATGTATAATTCAAGAAATGAGTTAGGCCACATAAAACCACAAAAGGGCTGCTTGTAGCCTCTGGACTGCAGCATGCTTGTCTTATTATATCTTTCTAACACTGCAGACATTTAACACATATTTTGTCATGAGACATTTATCAGTTTGTCCACAATTTTTTATCACAGAATGAATTACCATATAACAGTATATTCACAGTAGGTCTATAACAGTTGCATGCCACTGTGTGAAAGGACAGTGTCATTCAACTTTGGTATTAGAACAACATTTTTTAATTTGTATGTTTCAATTTTAATCACAGTTTAATAAAAGCAGTACCAGCCTTAACTACTACCTGAACATTTATGGTACATCTATAATTCAAAGTAAAAAAGCATACAAATGAAGTAATGTAAAATAAAATACTGAAATAATTCACTCACAAGCCTGCAAGGTACGTGTGTGCCTGGTTTCATGAAATATAATAACTGCAGGACCAAGAGCTGATAAAGGCCCACCGAACTCATTGCGCTGACCAACAACTTGTAAAGCTGCCTGGAAGTGCTGCGTGTAAGCACGTGAAGCTGACCCCAGGAATGTGAACATGTCTCGATGCAAACGTTCTGATCGTGTGCGATAAATCACAATATCTGACAATGCAAGAACCTACAACATAAAGGTGATATGAAGCAATGACCCTCAGACATTCTACAATATGTACTTAAAAACACCCCAAAAACAAAATTATTCTTTACTAATAATTTCTACTTTACAAACTTCAACAGTTTAACTGACAAATTTACATCTCATACCCTTCTTT